GGGGTATGTTCTACGGCCCCAATAGCTCTCTGTTGATGCCAACACTGCTGGCTCTCAGATCACACTTTGAGTAGCAAGCTTTTTAAGTAGATATATACATGCAACTGGTCTAACTCACTAGAAAAAAGAAAGCAAACCTTAAGATGGGGTGGCAAATAGTGAGAAGGAAAGTCTGACGGGTCTTCTAAATTTTTCATGACTAAGCACAGTGAGTTTCCTATCAACAAAGAGGAACATATACTTAACACCAACCATCCATTCCTGCCACCACTGTGTCCCAGAAAAGAAACAGAACTGGCTAGCCAGCCAGCCAGCCTGAGGCTACATTCCTAGGAAAACTTTGTTTTCCTCTTTTATACTTGCTGTACAGAGACTTTTTCCTTTTTTGCCTTCTATCCCTTTTTTGAGGGTCTTTTTCAGATGAGGGTCTCAGTATGCAGTTCAGATTGGCTTTGAATTTACTTTGTAGCCCAGACTGGCTTCAAACTCACTGTGCTTCTCCTGCCTCAGCCTCCTAAGTGCTGGGATTACAGGCATGTAACCACCATGTCCGGTTTCTACTTTTTCTAGCAAGTGTTTTTCTAGTATCATTTGGGGACCAGTGGTGGTCCCTGGTAATCTATTAACTGGTCTATAGCGTTTGAGGAAAAAGTTTTTTTTTTTGGTACCAGGAATCAAACTCAGGACCTTGTGCTTGCCAGGCTGGTGCTGTGCTGATGAGCTATATCCCTGGTGAGGAAAAAGTTTATTTATTTATTTATTCATTCATTTATTTGTACCAGGAATCATTCATTCGTTCATTCATTCATTCATTCATTCATTCATTCATTCATTCATTCACTCACTCATTCATTCATTCACTCATTCATTCATTCACTCATTCACTCATTTATTTGTACCAGGAATCATACTCAGGATCTTGCACTTGCCAGGCAGGCACCTGTGCTGCTGAGCCATCTCCCTGGCCCTGAAAAAGTTTTGATAATGAACAATTCACAAATTTAAGAGATTAATTATGATGAAAGTGATAAGAAATTATTTTAGGTTCCTAATTATGTTTCAACCCTAAGGATACAAGGATAGTTAAATGAGGACTATTTGAAAAATATTAATTGCTCAAGATATTCATTATACATTAAAAGTAAAAATTACATTCATCACACAATGTCAAAAAAATGATCACACAATGTCAAAAAAAGACAATAATATGAATCTTAAAGACATCACAGAAGTGTTCACATCATTTTCAAGCACTTCAATAAATCTAAGTCCCTATTATGAATTTTGTCATTAAAAGCAAAGATCAAAACAATAGTCAAAGGTATTTTAACTTTTTTTAACAAAGAAGTGTAACTACTCTGAGCTGTAAATTAATGATAAATATGTTCTGAGTGAACAAAACAACTTACTCGCAAAATTCTAACAGAAGATAGAACTGGACATCATGTAATATGTGTGCTATATAGCAAGGAAAAACAGTTACTATCACAGATGTTACGTATGCTCTTCAGTATTTAGTGGCTACATGAAATCACTAGTGTATGGAATATGAATCAAATCTTAGCATACCCATGTCTAAAATGTAATTCAAGAAATATAGGCAACTTCTAATCCCAATTACCAATGGAAAAATGAGATCTAAAAAAGAACCTTTCTTTGAACTAACAACTATTTTTGAGGGTTTTTTTTTGTCTTTTTAAGACAGGGTCTTGCTATGCAGTTCAGGCTGGCCTTGAGTTCACTTTGTCACCCAGGCTGGCCTTGAACTCATAATGATCCTCCTGCCTCAGCCTCCTGAGTGCAGGGATTACAGGTGTGTGCCACCATGCCCGGCTTTATTTCTGAACTTTGACTTGAAAAGGTATACTAAGAGGAATATGATCAGAGCAATAGCTATGTGTGAGGCAAGAAAGACCCTATTAAATTCACACATGGCTTCACTTAAAAACAGCTGGCATTTGACAATAAATCCTTTTGAGTCAATGTGAAAGACAGCATGGGAAATTATCAATATAATTCAAATTGCAATCCTTGAGCAAGTACTGCATCTTCAGCATAATATGTTAAGTAAGAAGCAAATACAGAGTCTGCTTCTCTACTCAAGGGGAAAGATGCTTGCAAAAACTATTCAAGTGAAAGATTTAAATTTTTTTCATGATACTGATGTCAGAAAAATATTTTTGTGATCTTAAGTGGCTTACTTAAGTGCCATATAGCCATAACATATTACAGTGAATAGCTGGAACCCATCACTTGAGGCATGAAAGAATACAATTCTTACAAGTAAAACAGAAAACCAAATCATGATACAAATGGATTATTACTGGAATTTGACACTTTTCCACACATGATTTGTGCATGTTTTGGTTTTTTTGAGACATGGTCCCGCCATGGAGTGCAGGCTGGCCTTGAACTCATGGAGATCCTCCTGCCTCAGTCTCCCAAGTGCTGGGATCATAGACATGCACCACCATGTTTGGCGCATTTTTCATTGTTGTAGAAAGAAATACTTTATTAGGCTATATTTAAAACCACACTCAATTACTGCATTAAATCTGAAAATTCATCTCCTAGAACTGAATTCAACAACTTACTCGCAAAATAGATCTACCTATTGTCATCTCTCGAAATGAAATACTCGTATTTCCTGTTGTGTGTCATACATTTGTCAACTCAAGTATCTACTATAGTTTTCAGTAAGAATTTTTACATAATTTTGGTATCCACTCCCCTTCGACCTCCAAGTACCGGGGAATGATCCCAAGGCTTTGTGCATTTTAGTGAGATACCTTATCACTGAGCTATACCCCAGTCCTTTTTATTTTGAGACAGGGTCTCACTAAGTTGCCCAGGCTGTCCTTGAACTTGCAGTCCTGGCTTACTAGTGGCTAAAATTACAGGTGTGTGCTAGCTTGCCTGGCTATGTCCGTCCATTTTAATATTTTTTTGTTTTGTTTTGTTTCGTTTTTTTTCCAGTAAGGGAATCGAACTCACGACCTTGAGCTTGCCAGGCAGGCACTGTGCTGCTGAGCTAAATCCCCAGCCCCTATTTTAATACTTAAAACACAAAACCAATTGACCAAATACTTGCTGTTCTCCAAATAATCTGTAACTGAAAGGTGGGTTTATCTAACTTAGTAAACTAGAAAGGGGAAAAAATGGTTAAGTGTGAAACCTTAACTTTGCAGATCAGGTATCAAGGCAAAAAGGACTGCAGCAGTAATTGCTTGTCCTGATTTTTTTTTTTTTTTTTAAATTTTATGTGAGTTTTTACATCTAGTAAATTATTTTTTTTTTGGTACCAGGAATTGAACTCAGGACCTTGTGCTTGCCAGGCAGGTGCTTATGCCGCTGAGCTATATCCTCGGCCCTGTCCTGATTTTTAAGTTATTTTAAAATACTGTTTTAATCTTACTATAAAGACATTTTAGGTTATTCTTCTGTGTTGCCTAAAATCAGTGGTGTGCACAAAGACCCACCATGTGGCCCACAAATTCCAAATATTTGAGATCACTTTCACATGAAGCTATCCTTTCTTTTTATGAGTTAATTTGCTAGAAAAGCAACCACTGTAATTTTGTTTGTTCTTAGTAGTAATCTTGCATGAGAAAAGCAATCTGCTATCTGCATTCCTATTCATTTTAAAAAACATGGGTCTGGTTTCAGTATGCATAGGACCTATAGAAAAATAGAGTATGTCTAACTTCTAATTTTTCCATGGCCTCCCAAAGTTATTCTTTCCTTTTGATCTTCTGAGAACACAAACTGCTTTCCTATACCTTTTGGTTAGGATGACATTAAAACTGTGTAACAACTAGCATGCCGTCAACACTACACAAAAAGAATGACACCAGTTCATAAAACGTATGGTTGTAATGAGCAGGCTCACTAAACATTACTTTTAGTTGATTTTTTAAAACTAGTGTGTTTCTAATAACATAGGATCATGTTTACGATAATAGATACTTTCATATTAAAGAATTAGTGAATATATGTAACATATCTTGACCATTTTTGATCTCTTTAGTCTTCTTTGCTACCTTCCTCCTTTTCCTTGACCCCTCCATCTACAGAAAGTCTGTCACTTTGTATTCTATTATCTCCCCTTTATTTTACTATTTACATTTTTGAATTCTCATATAAGAGAAACTATATGATATATAACTTTCTAACAACTTACCATTATACTCTCCAGTTCCACTTTCCTGTAAATGACATGATTTCATTCTTTGTTATGGCTTTTAATATTCCATAGTTATAGCTTCTTTTAAGTAGCCTGCTAAACTTTCTTCCATGCTAGTCCCATTCTCAAAAACAGTTGACCATTCCTTGCCTGCCAATTCCCATTAAAAAGGCATAGCACAAGCCGGGTGTGGTGGCGCACGCCTGTAATCTCATCCCTCAGGGGGCTGAGGCAGGGGGATCACTGTGAGTTTGAGACCAACCTGGGCTACAAACTGAGCTCAAGGCCAGCCTGAACTGCACAGTGAGATCTTGTTTCAAAAACAACAACAACAACAAAAAAAATGGCAGTCTTCATGAAAGGAAACCACATAAATTGGATTCTAAAGATGAACTCTGCATCTTATTAAATCTTTATTTTCCCTATTTTTATTCCTTACAGTAAAATTAAGGAAAAGTATTAGAACACACTACTGCTTTCTTTCCAACAACTGTATCCAGAGAATGGGGGTCTTTAAGCTTTGTTATATATATATATATACACAGTAGCTTTGTTATTTGATTATATCCATACAGATATCAAGTCCTTTCTCCTCTCAACCAAATGGAAGTAGTTAATATATAGACAAATGGATGGATATGGGGATATATTAAGGATATTATAAACTGTTAGCAAAACAAATGTCTGATATTTGTGTAACAGGAAATAAATTCATTAAAAAGCCTAAAGAGATGGGTCATTTTAAAATAAACAAGATCACAGAATTATGTTTAATAAAAGTCAAACAAGTCATATATTGTTCTACAGATATTCTTACCCAACTTTGGAAAAACTATTAAGTATTCAGCATTGCACTGAGGACATGCCACTCTGGCTGTACTGTTTCCTCTTTGTTTTTCATCCACCCAGCGCTGTAGACAAGCCTGATGAACCCATTTGGTAGATCCTCTGCACCTGCATGGTCTCACCCATTCAGCTGTTCGATCATCTTCATCAGTGGCAAAACACACCCAGCAACTTCTGTAAATTGAGAGAAAATTATATTTATTTTCAGAATCTCAGCCTCCTCTACACTAAAGCTACTGATATACTGTTCTAGAACTTCTGTCCTACATGAAGAGATTAATGAAACCAATATAATCCAGTAGAAAAATTTGTTTTTCCATTTTTTTCTATAGAATCTTTTCTGAACTTTATTTTCATGTACGTTCCTCCATCTTTCTAGTAATTCTGTATTCTCAACAGTGAACCAGATTTCAAAGAGGTATCCCTCAAGATGCTTTTTCTTCTTCTTCTTCTTCTTCTTTTGCCAATAATGGGGATTGAACTCAGGTCCTTTATACTAACTACATTCCCAGCCCTTTTAAAAATTTTGAGACAAGGTTTCATTAAGTTGCCCAAGCTAAGCTTGAACTTGGATCCTCCTGTCTTAGCCTCCGAGAGTGCTGGGATCACAGGGATGCACCACCACACCTATACTTATGCTTTGTTCTTTATTTGTTGTGACAAGGTCTCACTATGTTGTCCACGTTTGCCTTGAAATTGTCGTGATCCTCCTGCCTCAGCATCAGAATGCTGGGATTGCAGATGTGTGCCATCATACCTAGTTTATACTTTTATTAGACCTGGTAATGCTTTCAGAAGAGGTAAGCACAAGAATATGTAAGGTTCAGAATCCTCATTTCAACATTAATCTCTTGAACTTGGAAAAACAAATACACAAGTGTTTTTGCATATACTCATTCAACTTTCAACTGAGAGAAAACAACTGACCCCATTTCTCTTTCTGGTATAAGAAGAGAAAATAATAGTAATAAAAAATTTAAAGCACAAAGGATATGAAGATAGGATAAATTGTTTTAGGGTAGTAATACGATATATCTGTGCTTACCTGTTTCTATTATATGTATGACTCTTTCTGGAATAAAATTCCATTTAATGTATTTCAAACCAAAAAGCCTGAAGTAGGAGATGCTAGTATTAGCTGGGCATGGTGGAACAAGCCTGTTATCCCAGCACCTGGGAGGCTGAGGCAGGAGGATTACAGTGAGTTCCAGGCCAGCCTGAACTACACAGGAAGACCCTGTTTCAAAAAACAAACAAAAAATTACAAATCTGGAATTTAGTTGGGCATGGTGGCAAATATCAATAATCTCCAGCACTCTGTGAGGCTGAGATAGGAAGATTCCAAGTTTGAGCCCAGCCTGCGCAATTGAGCAACTTGTCAAGACCTTGGCTCTAAATAAAACAAAAAAGGGCTAGGAATGTAGTTCAGTGGGAAAGCTGTGGGCTCAATCCACAGTACCATAAACTAACAGGCAGGGATGTAGCTCAGTGGTAGAGCACTTGCCTAGCATGTGTGAGGCTTGGATTCTATCTCCAATACCTCCAAACACCTCAAAAGCAAAGAGACTGGAGAAAGCAAATTGTGTGGAAGAGACAATTACAGAATGCTTAAGTTAGAAATTTATAATTATTTGTGATGATTAAACATTAATGTAAAAATGAGTACAGAAAATGTTAAGTTTAAAGAATTTCATGTATATTACTAGTTATAAGTTTAATTTACCTAATATGAAAAAATCTACTAGTCTATAAAATTAGAAATTAGGGAAAATTACAGCACATAAAGGGCTACATAAAGGCTGGGGATGTAGCTCATTTGGTAAATAGCTTGTGTAGTAGTATGTAGCAAGGCCCTCAGTTAAATCCTCAGCACTGAAACAACAAAATAAGTAACACCAATGTTTGAGGCAAATATTTAGCCTTTTAGAGAGTGTCATTATTCTTAAGGGCTCAAAAAAAGGAGTGGAAGGAACATGTCCACATGTGAATCCTTTCTTTTCACGCTCTATCTTCAACTTTCAATAGATTAACCAGGAACATCACCTGGGAAGATCTTACAATTATACTTTCCCTCTTTACTTCTCTATAATCTACTCCCAGACTTGCTGCAATCTCTACTTCAATTATTTCCCAATCCTATTCCCACTTTCTTTTCCTTTTTTTTTTTTTTAATTTTTATTTTTTAGACAGGGTTTCGCTATATAGTTCAGGCCAGGAAGAAACTCATTAGAACTCATGGAGATGTTCCTTCCTCAGCCTCTCAAGTTATTAGGATTACAGAAATGCAATGCACCACCATGTTTGGCCCTATCCCACTTTTTAAGAAGCAGGAAACGATGTTTAAGATGACTGGTTTAATATTTTTCAAAAATTTTAGCATGGAAGGGACAGCAGAAATCTGCCACTTAATATATAACAAATTTCCTTTTTAAAGGAACAAACAGGATCCCATGCTTTATGGGAAATCATTCTTCCTCCAATTATCATCCACACTTGTGGATGATATTTCTGGAAGAGTAAATCTTAGATTGGCTATTGTATCCCAAACCTCAGATTATGGTGATTGGGCAATTAGGTCTATAAAGCTGGTCTTAATCACAGTTTATCTCAGAGCTTGGGAAAAGTTGCTACAGATTTTCTTCTGGGGAGCTTGGAGAGAAGAGATTTTGAAGCACCTGCTGTCAGGACAGTCACCATGTGAAGCTCAAAGAATCCAGAGGAAGCGGGGCATGGTGGCACATACCTGTAATCCCAGCACTCAAGAGGCTGAGATAGGTGGATTGCTTCAAGCTCCAGGCTACCCTAGACTACATAGTGAGTTCAGGCCCAGCCTGAACTATACAACAAGACTGTCTCAAAAAACAAAAACACAAGAGGAAGCAAAGCTAAAAAATGAAAACTAATGGCATTGTTTGAGACATGGACACCAACCTGTGACTGAAGCTAAATATATTCCTATACTGTTCACTTATATAAACCAATAGATTTGTCTTCTCTTATTTATTTATTTTTTGCTTAACCAGTCTCATTACATGTCAACAAAACACTCTTGATACAGAGTACTTGACACCAAGAGATGGCCCCAATATAATCACATAATATAAATGCTACAGAGCTTTTATAAGTAAACAACATTTTTTTTTTTTTTTTGTAAACACATTTGTTTCTTACTTAAAATTGAACAAAAAAGTTAATTTAATTCCCAATGCAAGCACTTTGACTTTTGTAAGCTTTTCTTTTGCATACTGGGCAAAATATGATCTTGATTCTGCTATTAGATCAGGCCACTTATTAGATTTAAAACAAAACCAATAAAGAAAAAAATCAAATATTTTCAAACCTGAGCTTTTTACTGATACCATGACATTTGCATTTCAGAGTCAATATAACATAAATATATATCAATCCAACTTTAATCTAAATTATTACCTTTTTTTTGAGACAGGGTCTCACTGTGTAGTGCAGGCTGGCCTTGAACTCACTATGTAGCCCAGGCTTGCCTCAAAGTCACAGTGTGAGTGCTGGGCTTATAGGTGTGCATCCCATGCCTGGCTATTAAAGATCCTAATGTTTTAATTTATAGAGATGCAATTTTGAATACTACTTTACAAAGGTAAGAATAATTGGGTACTTTTCATTTCAAAAGACAACAGCTAAGGGTGTTGTTAGTGGTTGAGTGTTTGCCTAGTATGCAAGAGGCCCTAGGTTTAATCCTCAGCATCATAAAAAAAAAAAAACAAAATATGTATGTACATAAAAAAACTAAAGACCTTGCAAACTCCACCCCCAAGGAAAACAGCAATTGTAATTCTTATTAAACTTTTAAGAATTTCTTTCCCTTTAAATTTGTTTGCCCTGTTCCTTCTACTCTTTTAACTCTCCCAGAACTGAGTGCTTAGTGTGAGTCACATGCATCATCTGAGCTTCTAGAAATGCAAATAATCTCAGATCTACAGAATCAAAACTCTGTGGGTAGCTGACACTTTTCAAAGCCTTTCAGGCGACTCTGATATATAAAGTTTGGGAGCCCCTATTCTAGTCTTCTTTCCTAACCTCTTCCTTACTCTCCTTAGCTCATCATAATAGAGAAATAAAATTCCATTTTTGGCCAAAACCAGTATCTTCCAATAATTCACCAAAATGACAACAAACATAAAGAGAAAGAGGAGAATAATAAGAAACATAAGCATTTCAGCATGTTTTGGTTTACTTCTAGATGTTTCCCCCAAAGCCTCATGCAGTCATAGGTGGGGCATTCAGAAAGTGACTGGATCATGGGTGTGTCATACTAGATTAGTCCACTGAACGGTTCAGCATAGTTCTGGGTGTGGATAACGGGAAGGCCCACCCTAGGTGTGGGTGGCACTAGCAATAAGCTTGTAGCCTGTATGGAATACAAAGGGAAGGAAGAAGGGCTCCTGTTTTCCTGCCTGCTATGCCATGAACTATTTCTCCTCTGTGATGTCCCTCTGCCATACCGCCCTGCCTTGAAGCCAGCTAACTATGGACTGAAACCTCTAACAACTATGAGCTACAATAAACCTTTCTTCTTTTAACTTGTGGGTGTTAAGTATTTTGTTCTAGCAATGAGAAAAGTAACTAAGACAAGGTACTCTAAGCATTTCAGAAAATAGGTGTTCGTCTGGCCACATATATGTGATCTACAAACATGATTATACTGTAGACATCAAGGGAATGCTGTTGAAAAAGGAATGCCACACAAATACTAGTGTGGCAAAAATAGAAGTCTACAGTGTTACGCAGCATGCTTTGGATATTGTAAACCATCAAGTTCAGGGCGCGATTCTTGCCAAGAGAATTAATGCATGCATTAAGCGTTCTAAAACCCAAGATAAACCAGGAGCAACACAGCAAGTTCAAGGTCAGTTTAAACCACCTAGCAAGTTCAAGCCCGGGCTAAATTACACAGTGAGATCCTGTCTCAAAAACAACAAAACCCAAAAAAAGATTCAAGGCAGCTTTCTAAAACACATGAAGAGTTCAACCCCAATCTAGGTTCAACTGAAGGGCCAACCTGCTTTACCCAAAGTATATTCTGTGAGAATCAATGGGAAGCAGCTTGAGCTGCTGGCATCTATCCCCTATAAATTCATGGCATAAATCTGGGGCTGTAGTTTGTAGTTCTGGCATTCAGCACTTGAACAACAAGCAGC